TGGCAGGGGAGGGCAGTTGGGGGCGATCGGGCCGGCAGGGAGCAGTTAGGCTGGGAGAGGAGTGGTTAGGGGGTGATCGGGCTGCCAGGCAGAAGCAGTTAGGGGCAATCAGGCAGGCAGGCAGGCGAGTGGTTGGGAGCCAGTAGTCCCGGATTGTGAGAGGGATGTCCGACTGCCGGTTTAGGCCCGATCCCTGTGACTTCCTGTGGGATTGGGCCTAAACCAACAGTCGGACATCCCCCGAGGGGTCCCAGATTGGAGAGGGTGCAGGCCAGGTTGAGGGACAAACCCCCTCCCCCACTGCACAAATTTCATGCACCGGGCTTCTAGTATAGGATAATGTATGTGTTAATTCTGTTAGAACAGGGATAGGGAACCTTTTTTCTACCAAGGGCCATTTGGATATTTATATCATTCGTGGGCCATACAAAATTATCAACTTAAAAATTAGCCTGCTCTATTTGGTCAAACATTTAATTAACTCACCCCTAATGCCTTGGCAGTGCCAGGCCAAATGATTTCGGGCTGGACATTCCCCACCCCTGGTTTAGAAGGTGGAAACAGAAAACTTGTAACTCCTTTACTTAAAGATTAAGTGTGATAAACTTCTGTCATACAAGATTTAATTTTGGTCACTTAAGTACTATGTATTACATTTTAAATACATAAAAGAAAAACTGATGATTAAATGAATGAAACCAAAAATATCCTTCCACCTCTATTCTATTAATACTATTTCAAAAGTATTAGTGATGAAATAATTGCTGTCGTGGGTTTACAGGACAAAGGTTCTGTAAAACATTCTCACTTGTCTTTCTTTCAATTCTATGCTCCTAACATTATAGATTTTAAGGATAACAGAAAAACTGGTCTACAATGCTCTCACCTAATAAGCAATCTTAATAAATTTCATATACAAAAATATTGTATATTTTAAAGTAACTTTAGAAGCACTTATTCACTTGTATATATTAATGCATAACCAACATTATATTTGTCCTTGAACAATACTGTATATTTATTTTTAGAACCCCACATGATTATACCATATATCTACTTTAAATAACTAAAATTACATGGATAATATTAAATGAAGGGATGAAGTTTAAACTAAAGAAAAATAACAATTTTCACTTATATAACTATTTTTTTCAAAGGCAGCTGCACATATTTGAATAATTTTTAAAATTTGCACAGCATCTGACTTACAAAATTAGCTCAACAATTAACAGCCAAAAAATTAAAGCATACTAATGCTTAATTTAAAATAATGTTCTTTTTTTTTTTAAGAACTACAAGTACAAATCTTCTTTTAGCCACAGAATATGTTTTTGAGCCAAGATTTTTTTAAAAATGCAATTCTCAATCCATTCTTCAGATCTAGACAGATTAAAATATACACACAGTATTCTCAAAAGTAAAACATGAAAATAATAAACAAGAATTTAAAGCCACAGGAGTTATACTGTTTGAGTTAATACTTGCTTAAATTAGTGTTTTTTGTTTTTTGTTTTACGTTTGGGAAATAAAAGGGTTTGCCTTAGAAACTACTAGAAGAAGAAAAAAACCCTCAATAAAATCTTGAATCTTGCTGCCTCTCCCATCACAGCACAGATTTGACATTTCATATGAAATCTAAAAGCCTGCCGAGTGATTTGAATCTGTATATATTCAACATGTAGACTTTTTTTTAATGCAGACTTATTTATGCAATATGACTGTATTTATGCAATATGACTGTTGTTGTTAATCTTCATCTGAGGATATTTTTCCATTGATTTTTAGAGAGAGTGAAAGAGAGGGGGAGAAACATCTATGTGAGAGAGACACATCAATTGGTTGCCTCGAGTACGCGCCCCTACTGGGGCCAGGGATCGAGCCCGCAACCGAAGTATGTACCCTTGACTGGAATGGAATCTGGGCCCCTTGGGTGCGGGCCTACTCTCTGACCACTGAACCAAACCGGCCAGAACGCAGTATGGCTGTATTTCGATATGGAAAGCTCCATTCTTGGTGTTGATTTCAATAAAAATAACAACTGTTCCCAAGCTCCAACACAGGTTTCTTTAGTAAGAGCTTTTCCCAAAGCTCATGCAACAACTGAAGTTGTTTTAGTATTGCAACACTACTACACTGTGTTAAGAGATGGATGACTTTTCCTGACACATCAGAACTATTTTTATGATTTGGTACTGTTATTTATTTATTTATTTATTCATTTTATTATATATTTTCATTTATTTCAGAGAGGAAGGGAAGAGGAAAAAGATAGAAACATCAATGATGAGAGAGAATCATTCATTGGCTGCCTCCTGCACACCCCCCACTGGGGATCGAGTCCACAACCCGGGCATGTGCCCTGACTGGAATTGAACTGTGACCTCCTGGTTCATAGGTCGACACAACCACTGAGCCATGACTGGCCTGGCATTCTTGGTACTGTTTTTAAACAACTTTCTCACTACCAATATTCAGCCTAGATGGAACTGCTTGGGGAAAAACACTATATTCACAGGTGTAGCCACCTGGCCACGATACTATACTATTGATGGATCCCCTGCCACTAGTGATCCCAGTAGGGAGAGCTGACTGCCAACCAGTCTTTAGACTGCTCTCTTCTCATCCCACCCATAATCTACATCGATTAATAGTCACAATTCCATTTAAACTGGATTCTGCAGCTGGGTATCAGGAAGAGTAGGAGCAGCATGATGAAGGTCTTTTGAACACAGCATCAGAAATTCAAGAAACAACACTGGTCTGCTCCCTAGGATGGAAGGAAGCGAGTTCTTTATTGTCTGCCCTGTTGTCGCCGTACCCCTTACCTTTGTACCTGTTATACAGCTGCTCCAGCTTCTTCTTGTCCACTGTGTTTTTCATGGATTCCTTGTGGAACGAGTCCGGGTTTTGGAAGAAGTTGTCGGTGGCCACGTCTAGTTTCCACTCATTCTGTGTTAAGCAGTAGATGGCAGTTCTTTCGCCAGCCTGAGTAAATGCCATAAACTGGCGGACCTTGTCCTTCTGAGATGATTTAAGCTTATGCTTTGGGATGCAAAAGAAGCAGGAAAGCCAATGAAGCCAATCCAGAGGTTTGGTTCAGCATTCTATTCCTAATGCCTATATTTTAACTGGACTTAGTTTTTTTTTTCTTGTTGGGTGACTCAACTTCACTTCAGAATTACAGGAAGACAAAGGCTTGTTCTTCATCAGTTAAAAAGACTGCACAGTCTTCTGAAAATTGAAACGACAGCATCTATATAGCAACAGATATGCAAAGTCTAATCTTCAAAACATGATGAGAATCAATATTTTATACAAAATTTACATTCTGATCTCTACCCACTTCAATTTGCATGAGCACCTTATTTTTCCCTCAGTAAATCCCTCTTTATAATACACGAGGCCCCTGATGAAATGAGGCTGGGTATGCGACCCAAGGCCTGACCATATCACTGGCACCCAACTGTTCTCTTTGGCTACAATTAATTTCAGGCTCTAATGAACGGGAGGAGGGATTCCCAGTTCAAAAACATCTTTTTTTTTAAAAAGTTTTTCCCATTTTAAAATCGGCAGAACCGCATTGATCAAAACATACACACACAATTAAGCATAGTGTGCACTTCAATTTGCATGAGCACCTTATTTTTCCCTAAGTCTCAGTAAATCCCTCTTTATAATACACGAGGCCCTTGATGAAATGAGGCTGGGTACGCAACCCAAGGCCAGACCATATCACTGCCACCCAACTATTCTCTTTGGCTACAATTAATTTCAGGCTCTAATGAATGGGAGGAGGGATTCCCAGTTCGAAAACATCTTTTTTTTTAAAGTTTTTCCCATTTTAAAATCAGCAGTACCACATTGATCAAAACATACACACACAATTAAGCATAGTGTGAAAAAAATTTACAAGAGTTCCAAAAGCAGGTACAAAAAGCTCGTTACAACTAATTGAATATGATACTAATAGCAAGAATGTCTGTGTACATGAGACAGAAATAAAATAGAAAAATAGGGCAGAGGCTGTGAGGCAGTAAATAGCAAAACTGCCAAGTAACTGTACTATATATAGTATATAATGAAACAAAATAACATCTTAATACTTCCAGATATAAGATGGTAAAGTTTCCATTTATCTAAGGTAACTTGATTAAAATGATACTAGGAATAAAAGTGATTCACTAATTTCTGTAAACCAAAATGGACTCAATCTAAGATGCTAATACTTTACACATAAGGGGGACATTTTTACTTAATTGAGAATTTAAACTCAATCTTGTTTTAAAAAAGATGAGACAGCTTAAAGAAACACAAAATAAAATGTAACTTACAAACATATGTAAATGGAAAACAAGCTATAGATGAAGAAACTGAGAGGAGGGGAAAAGGAAAATAAGAAAGCCAAGGACACGATACAGACATGCACACCACATACAAGAGCTTCCCAGTTGCCAAAGCAGAGAAGATAATAGGACTAGTTGGAAAGCCTGTTTTTATAAGATTAAAAACCTACCAGTGGCCCAGAAGAGACACAGCTCCTCCTGGCACTGGAACCCAAAGGAAGCGTCCCCTGTGGCTGCTCATGAAAGGGCAGTGCGCAACGTCCCCTTCGTACCAGACCAACTCCTCACCAAGATGCCAACAACGAACAGCAGGGCAAGCTTCCAGAGCTGTTCTTAAGGCACCCTCCGCGCATGCTGAAGCCAAAAGAGCACAGCATATATAATTCAGCAGGAGCACAGACAGTGCAGTCCAGTACACTGCTCTCCGGGTATGGTCTGAGGACCCCAGGGATCCATGATGACACAAGCACCTCCACAACGATCCAAGCCACTCTCCGCCCTTCTCACTCTCACTGGTGTACTCTAGAGGCTTCCAGAGGCTGCACAGCTTGTGCTATCACAACAGGGTGAATGCAGAACACTTGAGAACCTGTCTTTTATTAAGCTGGACATTAAAGATAACTTGCAAAAAGGTAATGCAATGCAAATACATATGGGTTTATTATTACTAAGTATATAAATATTTTTAAACTTTCCATTTCCATTTCTAATATGGAACATACCAATGGCTACGACCCACATAAACAAAAGCTCTTTGGGGTCCCAATAATTTTTCAAAGCGTATAGGGGCCGTGGGACTAAAACGTTTGAGAACTGATCTAGGGTAACACAGAAAATTAACGATTTGGCTACTAAGAACAATGTTGATCATTTTGGGTGTTTGGTCCCATTTGGAATCTGATGAAAGTCACAGAACTTTCTCCAGGAAAACATATGTGGTACATGTGGTACACACATGTGCATGTAGTTTTGCATATAATTTCAGGGTTGTCACAGAAGAGTTAAGCCCATCTATTGGTTCCTCAGAGGATAGGGGAAGGCGGAACTCCGTTTAAAAACTGATGCCTGGCTAGTGTGACTCAGTGGTAGAGTGTCAACCCATGAATCAGGAGGTCATGGTTTGATTCCTGGTCAGGGTTTGATTCCTGGGTTTCAGACTCAATCCCCACTAGGGGGTGTGCAGGAGGCAGCTGATCAATGATTCTCTCTCAATTCTCTCTCGTCATTGACGTTTCTATCTCTCCCTCTCCTTTTCTCTCTCTGAAATGGATTTTTAAAAATGCAGATAAATGCACTTAAAAAAACAACAACACAACTGATTAGCAAGATCAGGAGCTGATTGGTCTCTACTGCAGCTACTCAACTTTTCCATTGCAGTGAAAGCAGCCATTTACAACATGCAAATGAGTGCACATGCTGTGCACCAATAAAACTTTATTTACAGCCAAGGCTGGATTGCTGGGTTGGTTGGAGCATCACCCCCTACACCAAAAGGTTGTGAGTTGGATTCCTGGTCAGAGTGTATAAAAGAGGCAACCAATCGATGTTTCCTTTCTCTCTTTCTCCCTTCCTTTCTCTCTCAAATCAATATAAATCCTCAAGTGAGGATTAAAAAAAATTATAGTTACAAAAACAGGCAGCTAGCCTATGGTCTGTAGTTTAAAATCTTGATCTATATTCTAGGGTTAATACATGGAATATGTATTCTATACATTATTTCCTGAAATTGAGCCTTTGGAAAGAACTAGAAAAAAGAGTTCCAGGTATATTCTTTGGTAAGATCAAATTCATCTAAATTAGGGCAGATCCCATAAGTTCTGATAGTGAGCTGATAAAAATAAAGCTAGCATCTTTTTATGATAGTCTCCCCAAGGGAGGGTGGGCAAAGCCAAGTGTTACCTCAGAAAGCTTAAGATAGAAACAGATGTTCAATCTCAAAATGGCACACCATTAAAAATAACCATGATATATTTATTATGGAAATTGCCATCAATGCTGGATTTAAAAATTTTGTCATGGTTGTAAAACAAAATTCAGTATATACACACAATGAAGCACAGTCGTAAAAAGAAATAAAGTACTGATGCTACGATGTGGATGAACCTCGCAAATATGCTGAGTGAAAGACGTCAGTCACAAAAGGTCACATAATGAATAATTCCATTTTTATGAAATATCCAGAAGAGACAGTTCCACAGAGATTGAATGAAGCAGATTGGTGACTGCTAGGGGCTGGAGTTAGGGGAACGGGGAGTGAGTGTTAATGAATGTGGGATTTTCTTGGGGGTGATGAAAATGTTTGGAAATATACAGAGCTGGTGGTAGTAGTACAAAGTTGTGATTGTACTAAACAGTACTAAATGCAACTAAAACTTCTTACTTTTTAATAGTTAATATTATGTTATATAGATCCCACCTCAAAAGAAAATTCCCCATCGTACCCTTGGAACCTTCTAGATTAATCAACAGAGTAGCATACTGTCGGGTAACTTAATTATTTAACCAGTTTATATAATTGGTAGACCCATACCAAGTGTTGACAGACAGCTGGAAGATGTGGTGATGCCTGATCTCAAGGCACTTTTCTTGATAATCTGCTCTTGAAGCTTTTCCTAATATGTGACAAAAAATTATATCAACGTGTAAAGGAGAATGCTTTCTGAAAACCCTGGAAGAGGTGCAGGAGTATATGGACCCAGGCCCACAAAGTGGTCTGAACTGTTACTATAAGTTACAAAATGGGTAGACCTGCAGTTAAGAGAAATAAATAGATCCCTCTTCCATCTATTCCAAGTGACTGCTATGTCATAAGACAGATCCTACAACCTTGAACCTCTAAGTGGTATGAAGGTGCTAGTTCTTAATGAGCAACAGTGGCCATGGGCCTAAGTATAGCCCATAAGTCTCTGGCTAGAATGAAAAGCAAGGGAACTGTCATTAAAGTTGCAACAATTTGATGTTACCCATTACAAGTTTCTCCACAAAATAATAGCAATTAAAAACAAAAATCATTAAGCTAAGTCTAAAGATTGTATGCTAAATTTGCAAACTGCAAGTTGCAATTTGTAAAAAAGGGAACTGGCATAAAGCTGTCTAGAAGAAAAAGCCTCATAAACGAATTCATTATAGGGGAAAGAAGAAAGCTCTGGTCTATTTAAACAGCACTAAATCCATAAATTGGCAGGACCAGAGCTTACCCTGTCAAGAGAATTAAATTAATGTAGCTTTTAAGGGGGGAGAGGGACATTTTCTATGTTTCATTGTTTTAGAATATTAAATGTACACCATTCTTGAAATAAAAACCTGGATAATCCAGTAGAAACAGCAAATAAAATCCCTAACCTATAGAAAAAGTCTCAAATATTTTAACTATGACCTTGTGAAAAAATCATTTACATAATCTGGGCATCAAGACTTAACCACACATAAAATGAAAAAAAAACCACAAGTTATTCTTACAATGAATGCCCTTCCACCTAATACAACAAATTTTCTCTTAGGGTCAACTTACTAGGGCTGCCAGGGCAACAATAATGATCAAATTAATTACATAAACTTGGTCACTTGGACTCTGTTTCACGCTGGGGGTGGTGGTAAACTCAAGTGTTTCCTTTCACACTCCTGCATCTCCAGCCTCGGCAGTGGTTGCACCGTCCTCTTCTGCAAGTTAAGCCTTCCTTCCCCTTAAGCGCTGGAGAGAGTGGTCTCTGCCTGCTGAGGGGGCCACATCCTGCCTAAGTCAGCAAGTGCCTCCTGGCTGCACTGCTGACCACCCCCCTCTTGGTTTCTATGACCACTCTCTTTCGTCTCCCCGTTTCTCTGACATGACCGTCTTCAGCTCCTTCTTGGCCAATCTTCCCAACCTCAAGTTCTGTCTCAGGCCTCCACTCTTTCCCCTACACATTCCTCCAGGACTAGTTCTCTCCTGCTGGGAACCTTCCCACTGGCCTCCCGGTACCATTAGGACGAAGACTAACATTTTCTTTCTGCCCTAGAAGACTGCACAATCTGGTTCCAGGCCCCTTACAAGCCTCCTGCTGTGTCACTTTCCCCTGGCTCCTTGTGCTGTCGCCAGGCAGACCTCCTGCCACCTATTCTGTTCTTTCCACCGGGAGTACTGCTCACCTCTGGCTGTGCCTGGCATCCCACTCATTTCCGAGAGCTCGGCTCACACTTTGGCTAAGCCTTCCTTGCCTTGGCATCGGACACCACTCACCCACCCCACCACAAGAGTTCCTGGAACCTGTGCCACTCCCTAGCACTTATCCCAACTGTAATAAAATAGTTGCATGCTTAGTGCTTATCTCCCCTGCTAGCCAGGCACGGGTCAGAACACCAAACCCACGTCTGGCTCGCTCACCATCAAACCCCCAACATCTTGGGCACGACCTTTCCTCGCCAAGAGAAATCACTGGGTTTATTGACTAAGTGATGAAACCCGTCGATGGCCATGGTTTCCACTACATTTCAAACTAATCAGACATTTCCTGAGGCGTCTTTTCCGAGCTCCAGATCTTTATTTCCAACTAACCACAGGACCCTTCTATTTCCCCCTCGTTACTATCGTGTAGTCTTCCCGCACAAATCTCTTCTTCCCTCTATCTTCTTTTTTTTTGCTGAATAATCTCACCATCTGCTCAGATGCCCAAGCCAGAAACTGCTGAGTCCTTTCTTTCCTTTATTCTCCCTTTCTGAAGAGTTCCCTAAAAGTCTTCCCCCCTCCCTTTCCTCCTCCCCCTTATTCCTACAGACAATCTCTGGCTCAAGTCCTCACCGCTTCTGCTCTAAATCATTACAACTTCCTAACTTGTCTCCCTGCAGCCCTGACCACCACCGGTCCAACCTATCCTCTCTGCCAAAGGCTTTTTTATAAAATGCGAACATGATCAAATCACACACCACCCCACTTTTTAAAAAAACCTCCTAGGGCTCCCGTTATCTCCTGATAAACTCTACACTCGGCGTCCGAGAAGAGGCCCTGTGGGTGCCATGGTCGACCCCGGCCTCCATGTTCCGGCCACAATGGAATTACCGGCACCGCTCAGAGGCACTGTCGTGCCCATTTCACCCCCGAGAGGATGCTGCGTAGGCACACGTCCCCGCTCCTCGGTCACCCGGCGGCTCGTGCATCGGGGAGCACCGGTCCGAGCCCCCACGCTGGTCGGGTGCCTCCATCCCGTCCAACCACATCACTGCACTGAGGTCACCGCGCAGGGCTCGCCCCAGGTCCTGCGGTTCCCACCTGCTC